TGCTCGCTGGTCACCGGTTCCTATCGCTAGACCAGAGGTATCTTCCCAATATTATAAGTAGGTACCAGAAATTATCAAGAGAAGGATTAAGGGAAATTCGAAAACCAAGTTTGAGTAACTTATTACACTTAATATTATTTAATTGTTTATTTATTACGATTAATGTCGGGGTTATTAGATTAAGATCGCGGATTGGAAACCTGGCAAGCTACCAATGTGACATTTTCTGACTTATATGTAGTTTCTAAGTATCTTGAGACACCACTGACAAACGGTGAAGGAAAACATTGTGAAGAGACCTGGACTTATAATTTCTAATTATAATTTTGAAATCGCCAATTCACCTTGAGTCATCGTGGTGAATAATGCTCAAACGTACTCCGCGTGAGAAGAGGTCTTTGCCCAGCATTGGGCACTTATAGACTGATGATGATGATGATGATGATAATGAAGATAACAGGGATACTATTAACATAGTATTTTTGTTACACATTATATTCACGTTCAATGCTAAGTTATATTCTTTAAAAGTGGACATTCTCGTTGTGGTATTGATTAAAGAAACCTTATGTCTGTAATCCTGTAGGTAGCGTGCGTCGTATTTTGTTATTGTTTTGTGGTAGCGTTGGTTGCTATCTCCTTTGGGAATTTATCTACCATTTAGGTTTTTCTTGTATTTATTGCTGTATATTGTATTTCCTTCATGCCGCTGTTGACATGATTTTTCTTACATTTTTTACTACTGTTATTGATCTGAGTATAGCTATAAAAAATATTGATGTTGAAAGGTCTTTTATCTAATGTAAAATTCGGATTAGACTTTAAATAGTTTGAAGAATAAACAAAAATTGAGACAAAGAAACTGTAGTAATTTTAGGCTAAGGAACAAAAAAGTCTTATACATGTCTTGTGTATAATGAATATGTATTATACCAATAAATAATATATTCATCGAATATCGAAATAAGTACATGAATTCGATACACAGATAAAAATCAACAACGTAACAAAACGCATTCATCTACATCCGGCTTCCGAACTCCCAATTATCAGTAAAGGAAAGAAAGAGAAAAAAAAACAAATTAATTATGGCCGCCAAAAGATTAAAAAAGCAACTAGCCATAAAATTCTGAGGGATGCCAATAATAAAAAAAAGAATTCAAAAAACGAATGCCCAGCTGCCATCGTTACGCCGAACGCATCTATCGGGTGAGGGAGATAACATTACAAGAATACTAAAGACGAGAGAAAGGGATGGAAGTATGGATTAAAATTGGAAGTGGGATTAATTTTATAGGAGAGTTAAACATATATTGAGTTTAATAGGTCCCAAGTCGTTGATGTGTAGGTACAGATTTTATGATTATTGTTTATCGTTGAAATTATACGTATATTATGCATTTACTGAACCAGACCACGAATAAGTACCAAAATATCTAAAACTTAGGGATAGAATTTTTATCCTTGCTGAAGATTCGAGTTAAACGTTGCTGAGAAATTTTGGATTTGTAACTGTAATAAAATGTCGGTTTAACAAAACTAGATGGCGCTAAACTAAAATCTGTACACTTCAAATTAATTACTATGTAAGTCATAATAACAAATATTTGAAGACTTAAAACGGTTTTAGTTGTCATCATGGTCATGCGCGAGGCACAAAGTGCCAACTGCTGATCTAATCGATGTAACTTCCCAGGTCTGTAAACGACCTGCCATCGTTGGTTTCCTGTGACCTTTATCCAGGTATCTGTCCATCTTTTGGGTGGTCATTCAGAACTGTGCTTGCCGAAATTTTACGTCGCAAAACATCTTAAATAAAATTTTCACGAAGGGCTGATTTTTCAACAGTTAGATAAAAGTTATCTGGGGAATCATTATGATTCTGTCGCGTCAGAATGTTTTGATAAGACAGTGACAGCATCAATTTTATTCCTCAGCATTTATTTAACTATTGAAAAATCAGCCCTAAGAAATCAAGTACAACTTAAATCTTATGACGATAAAAATTAATTGCTGGTCAGTCAGGTAGTATAATAGAAAAATTATTTGTACTACTCGCATTTATTTCGCGACAAACAACGTGGTGGTTAAAACTCTCACTTTATGAGACTTATTGACAGATTATTATAAGCAAACAATTAAAAAGGTCTCCTATCGTTATCTTCCATAAAAGAACTACAAAGGAGAGAAAAAATAGTGTTTTAAAGAAGAAAAAAAAACTGAGAGTGCTACCTGAAAGAGAGACGCTAAAATATCGCAGAAAATTTCCTGGTACAACCCTTTTTGGGATTAGGAACCCATTTTTTATAAATCAACACTACGTCAGTACGTGGAGAGTACTTTTCGAAATCCCTTTACTTATTTTTACTTGAGTTATTTCAGAAAAAGAAAACAAATGGCTGACTAAAAAAACGTTGAGGATTAAAAAAGGCTTAGTAATTTTTAACTTCACGATTTTGTGTAGTGATATTTTATTATTGTAGAGTTTATTCGTTGCTCAATTGTTCAAGTTATCAAATAATTTATAATTATTGAAAAATGAATATTAAGTTATTTCATTTATTAAGTATCTAAGGAAAATAAAAAAAGTAGGACCCATGACCGAACCTTGCGAAACACTCAAATTATATACAATTTTTCGTAGGAATTAATAACAACTTGGCTTCAGAGTAATTCTAACATTCTATTTACATGTTGTAGTAAGTTATTATAGGAAGAAATGATGATATAATTTTATATATATTTATATATTTATGATATTTTTGGTGAACAGCCGTTTCCAACGCTCGCGTCAGTATCAAAACCATACTTCTAAAAAGCAAAGGGAGGTTAATCCGGATCCCGAGATGCCTCCCTTTTGAATTAAAAATGTCGTCGTTCCATTTTCTTTTTTTGAAAATTTTAATCTCTGTTGTGATTGGTCAGTTTTTTGGGGCGTTCATATTTTTACGAGTAGCCATTTGAAACATGTTTTTCAAGTAAAATGTTTAATAGAATAGAAAAAGACAGAAAAAAGGTCGAATGAAAGTAATTATAACATTCTTGGAAAAAGATATTACCAACATGGAACGTAAGAAGTTTCATTATAAAAATATTCTTTATTTTAATAATTCGTCAAAAACTGTAATAAATTTAATTTGTTTTGTTTACCCACAAACATCTTTTATTATAGATACTAAGAGAAAGAGACAAAACGATACTTGTTATTATTCAACTTTTATTCGTTGGATCACATCCACCACACATACATTTTTCTCTTTGTGTGTAAAAAAAACATCTAAAATCCTACAATCGACCGAAAAAGGGTCTAAAACACAACACGCTAAATGTTGCCAGCATCAAAACTCAAACTTGTTACTAATTAAAGCGAACTAACAAGCGACTTCCCGTTTCTCCCACATTTCGGGGGTAGCATGGCAACACAGGGGGTGGAGATAAGCGGCTTACAGGGGAGAGAGGGCCTGTTTTGATTATTTCGCAAGGATGTCTTCTTGGTACGTAAATTATGCAGCGTTCCTTCCTTGCTGTTGTTTGAAGAATGGGCTTGTCTGTCAAACTGTGCTTGTTTGTGTGTATAAAATTTGAAATTTTCGTCAGATAGGCAACCCTGTCGTGGTAATTACTTTAGTTATGCAACACTATACCTATAGATACAGAAAATAAAGTGTAAAATGTTAAAAACTTGTGAAAGTTCAAAATCTGACGAAATATGACCGAGTTGAGGTTAAATACTTAAGTTAAGATGCGTAAATAACAAAGCAGTGCTTCGTTGATAGATTGCCACATATATTTTACAAGAAATTTAACATTAAACTTTAAGAATCAGAAGTCGAAAATGCAAATTTTGTAGAATATTTTACGCGTTCTGTCAAAATATACAAATTGTGATCATTAGTTTGACAAATTGAGTAGGTATTGCCTTTATGTCAACAAAGTTTAAGTTAACATGAACATAAATTCAAAATGTGTTCCATAAGTTCCATAATTTTATCGTGTTAAAAACGAAATACGTTGACATTTCTTTGTTTAAATGTTAGGTATTGTACGTACGTACTTTGTTACTTTCGAAATTATCTAACTGTTTCTGTGACATATGGAATGGGAATAATTTAACAAAAGTAAATCTGACATTCTTTTTTTACCAATGTGAAAATGGAAAAATACAAGAGAGAATAAATATAAAAAGAGAATCTATCTCATTAGGAACACCGTCGGGCATAAAAAAGCTCGTAATAAATTACAAAATGAAATCCCGAGTGAAATTCATTTTGTCGCCATATTGGAGTTTGTGACAAACAACGATACCGCTTTCGTGATATTTTTCATTTTGTTTTTTTTTTCTTAAGAGATGAATTATTTACTATTTAATTGAGTAGTATTGTTGTCTGAAAAATACATATAGTTACATCCATAGCTTTGTTGTCTATTAATAATAAGGTAAGGTCTTAACGAAATAAATACTCCTTAGTTTCTAAGGATTTTGTTATCTACTGTTCTTTAAACTTACCTGGGTTTAAAATTATTTTGAAAGTCTATTTTAAATATTAGCACATCTTTCCTAAGAGACTTAACTTCGTCTAAAGCTAGTCCAAAGAGTTTATGTCAAACTTTTCCTTTCTTTAAGAAATCCTTCACATTTTTAAGGAAATGTTTACAAAAACTATGTTAAAACCAATTAACGTAATCATAATTTCAAAAATACTTAATTAAAACGATAAATTAATCAAAAAACATAAAAAATTTGATTGAAAAGTCACGTTTATGACTATTTAGACTAAGCTGTCTTATATTTTAATGATATTAATTTAAAATTGATTAGTGTTTGCGGATACGAATATTAATTGCATTGCAAAATCTTAAGCTTACATCTTGAAGGAATTTATTTAGGCATTGAAACGTAAAATGCCTACAATCGATATTACTTTTATATATTAACAAGTTTTTTTACGTTATAGTTTTTAAAATTATTCCAGTGTTCTAAGTGATGTGAAAAATCTTACCTTGTGGAAATCCAACAGCTTCTAATCCGTGTGGGGTGAGACCGAATGGGCCTAAACCGCCTAAAGGGCCTGGGCCCATTCCCATATGGTGCGCACTTGAATGGTGGGCATAAGGATTCTGTGCCAAAGGAGATGGCTGTTTCAAATAGTGAAAGTAATGATGTAGAGGCGTCGCGGAGTGGGCCTGAGGTGCCGTTGGCCCGCCGGCCGTCGGTCCTGTAGCCGACGCCGAATTCGTTAGCAACGCCATCTTAATTCGTTTCTTTTTCTTTGAGCCAAAAGTATTTAGTCACCGCATCAACCTTTTTCGTGTGTGTATTGACATTTTTGCGGTTGCTTTGTTGCGTTTCGCTAGTTGCTGGTTGGTGACATTTTGACGTTCTTTTTTTCGTTATCTGAAACAAAAGAATGAAATTGATAATTAATATTTCGGTTACGCATTTATCGTGTTGTAATGTGACAATCGACCGTTATTTCTTGACTAGGTACCTGTACACATTGAATATAATATTATTTATGTCTTCCATTTTTTGCGCAACATAAATTTTATAAAAGATAAATTGGAATATAATGAGAGTCAATACATCTTCAATTTGTTCGCGCAACTAAACTTTAAACGTAGCAATTATTTACGGCTCATACGTTCATAAATAAACAGTTTACGCACGTCTTCTTGAATTATAACTAACATCGATTGATTTTTTGCTGCCAACTACTTATTTTACAATTACTCATGACAATGGTAAATTTTCTGCACTATTGCAACACTAAAACGTTAAAGTCAAACGTGGAACGCCTTCCAAATTTGATTTTTGAATGAGCCTCGAGCGTTCCATTCGTCACGATTCGGGCGTTCTGAATTCAAATGTATAGACTTTTTTTTTAAGTTCATTGAAAAGGTTTGAACGGAACTGATACGTTCTTTGATTTGCGAATAAAAAAATGGTTTTATTTGGAGATCAAAAAGAAGGAGAGGTTAAAATAAATTAAATTTTTAGGTAGATAAAGAGTAGTAACATTCGAACACCCACGTTTTTGTATGTGAATTATTTTGATCGAAATAGAACATACTTTAGAAGATTTGTTTTTGGTAGAAATTAATATACTAGAATAGTTTTTATTAGGATATTACCTAAGGAGGTATCGATTAGTTTTGCTCAAAACAGTTTTGTTTTGAATAATAATATACACTGACAAGTAATGAGAAGAAAATCATACCTACATACATTGACGGTGTACCTTGTGCCAAAGAGCATTCTTCTTTTTTTTTTTCTAATGTTGGCAAAGGTGTAGTAGGTACATGTTTACTGACATTTTGTCACGTTTATATTTTTTTTGTGGCTGTTACCTGAGTCGCCTTTGCCAAATTGAGGGGGCTATCACGTGTAGCTTTTGTGTTTTGAAAAAAATACACAAGGCGTATCAGTGTGATGACATTTGAGATGAAAAATTTTATGATATGTCTATAGTGTATTGTATCTAAGAATATTCGAAAAAAAACCTTATAATATCTATTGGGAGTAATTTTGAATTCTGTTTATTGATATGTTAGGTATTAGTATTTTTACTTCTTGATTATTTCAGATACATGCTTATTCAGAGGATTAAAATGTAGAAAAACAGAATGAAATTTAAAGATATCGAAGAATCTCTCTTCACGAAATTAGTGCCCAGGCACTTTAACAATAATATTTTATGCGCTATGTTTTCGGGACTCTGAATCGTAAACGAATCAAAGATGTTTGAAGTTATTGATTGATTAAAATGATACTAAAGTATTAAGATACTAGCGGTCGCCCGCGTCTCCGCTCGCGTGGATGTCGATTTCACATTGTTTTACGATTTTTTTATTGTCTGTGTATGAACCATCTCTGGACTTCCACGAATAAGTCAAGACCAAAATTAGCCCAATCGGTAAGGACATTCTTAAAAGGCAGTTGAAAAGTTGAATTGATTTATAGATATAGATTTATAGCTTGTGTAACTTGACTGAGAATGTCTCGTTTTCCTAGGATATTATAATATAATGTAAATGAGGTTAGATTTCATTAGTTATCAAAAAAATACTTACCTACTACCTTTTAATAGACAAATTCGATTCTTTTTTCAAATTTACCTCCAAATTTTTTTTTATTTTTTTATTAACTCTTGTGAGACAAAGGTACAAATTTTATAGAAAATAATGACTTGATCACGTTAGTTAACAGAGTTTAACAGATTATTTGAGATTTTCTCAGTAAATTCAAGCGAGTAAGTCGTTAGTAACAATAAATCTATACATTTTTTGAGATTGTGCGTAGGGACGTCACTTTTTATGAGTTTTTCTAAAATTGAAAAATGAAAAGAATGAAAGTGTGAATGTTTTATTGAACTGAAAAATCGAAATTGTTCGTATTTTACTAGGTATCTAGAATATAGTTACACTCTGAGTCTTGCCGTCTTTTTCTTTATTTGCCTCACTGCAAGACAGTGAATGGTGACGTAAACTTTTATTTTTACTTGAACCAAGGAGTTTTATAAGTTCCAGCAACATTATCTTTGGTCGTGTGCAAAAAAAGTTTGCACAGTAAAAGTGAAGGAAAAAAAAAACTAAACATTGTCACTTTTAACGCTGTGACCGGCAGTGGTTCGCAGAAACCGCTCCGTTCGTGCTACATAATCTATCAACAAAAGATTATCCTAAAACCCATAGATATGTATCAACGAAACACGTTCTGATATTACAATTGCAACTCTATACAAGTTGTAGTAAAGTATAAATTTGTCCAATTCTATTTAAAGTTTCGTAAAGGATTTCCGTTCAAATAGATCGCCATAGTCTCGCCGACCGTACCCTTAAAAGGTGTTCAATTGTATAACTTAATGTAGATTTTGTTAGAGATTTTTCGAGTCCCAATAGTCGGTGGCTCTGAAGAGTTTTCACGTCAACGATTTTTTGACAATTAAAGTTCTCTTTGCAAAAGTAAATACGCAGTTTTTTTTAGGTTAGGTGCGTTCGTAGAAGTCTCCTTCCTCTGTTGTTAACAAAAGCTAACCGCAACGCAAAAAGTTTGGTTACAACGAGTACAAAATTGGGATGCGACAGCTTGAGTGAACCACACGTAGAATTAAAAAGAAAAAGTTTATGAAAATAGAACGCCTAAATATTAGCGTTCCAAGTTTGAAACTGCAACATCCAAACACGCTTATATCGGCCATTGCTGTCGAATGCCAAACGAAATAAAATAACAAAAGCATCTTTTAAAATACGGTGTCAATCTCTGTAAATCTATTTGTGAAAGCGCAATAAACGCTATAAATAATATCAGTGCAAACATCGTCCATATTGTGTGAAGGAAAACAAACATTCGCGCCCTCGTTCTGTTTGCGCAGTTGGCAGCTCGGGTTGTCACTGTGACAAATTGAGAAAGCGCGCGCACAGAGGGTCAAAAGTCACAGATAATTTAGAAAAAATATTTCAATACATTCTGGCCATTTTTTGATGTGTCGGACGGTAACATAAGTTAAAAATGTGTTTTACAATATTTCTTCATCAATAACAGACGCGGCTTTCGTCGTTATTGTGTTCTATGCTAATTTCAACATGTTTAACCGACGACGTCGGTTCGGTTTCTTATTTCAAAAATTTCTCATGTCACTAGTGTTTTTAATATACATTGCTTGATTAATGTCTTCATTTTGAAACGTAAAATAATTTACTGTTTAAAGTTTGGCATCTATTGCGAGAAATCTTAAGAATGGTTAGTATTAATAATACTTTGCAATAACGTATCGATAGTTATTAATAATAATATATTGATAACTTTAGTACAAATATTCCTCTTCACAGAGCAGAAATTTTGACACATGTATAAAATAAATGTGTTTAATGAAGGAGAGAGGCATGTTTCGGTAGAAATGGATCGGCTTCACTGATGAAATGATACCAGGGCCTCACAGAAAACCAGTGTGGAACTACCATTTTATTCCAGTCTGTCTACCCTAAGAAATGTAATATCCCAATAACTATCTTTAAATAGACCGTCATTCATTGCCCCTACACCCAAGGTGCAGAACCACGACGATATTATGACAAAGACATTAATACTGTGGCGTGATAATTGCCCGTCGGGAGCTTCCATTGTGACAAATTTCGCGCATCGGAACACACTATTAACAATTTCTATGGAATACGTGTATTTTTTTTTCTTGGCAACCCTGGGGTTTTGTTGTGGACCACAATGCTGTCGGCACTTTTTGTCGGTTCTGTACAGTATTCTATTTTATCTATGTTTTCTAGAATTTGTGCGAAAAGTGATGTTTGTGGGAGAAAGCGTGATTTGATTTTGAGTATGTTTTTAAGTTTCAGCTTGGATTCGGTTTATTTTAAGGTATGAATCTATCTAAGTTTCCTTTGGCGGCTGCCTAAAAAAAAATAACTTACTAGATGCATATTAATCCTTAATTTCACTAATTATCATCGCCTGTGAACGTCTCTGATACCAAAGACGTGTCGCGAAGCATCGCTCCAGAGTAGAATTTTAAGAAATTAAGTTGTGATGAATTCTACCTTAGTAACTTAATACTGGGGTAGCTGGCGTGGTTGGATGAGGATAGCTAAACATCGAGCTCAATGACATCCAATTAGAGAGGGTTATGTCCAGCAGTGGACGGAATCAGATAACCAAAATTCTGTAAGTATTTTGGACTACGACATCCGCAGTGTGATATTCTACGCACATTAATATTGTCTGGCGAAGTAAAAGAAATCATGTAAATGAATTTGCATTCTTGTCACAAATAGAATCGGGATTATCTGAAACAATTGCATATCGTAGATAGATATTTTAATAAATATGAAACGTAAAACTCTAATCTTCTTAGCCTTGAAATGAAAATTATTTCATCAACAAAATATCAAGTTACGAATTAATTTCAAAAACGTATGTAATCAACAATCACACTGTTTCCTTTTCAAAAAATCAAAAAAAAGAAATTAATTTGACAGCCATATTAACGGAAATGCCACGGTAGCTTCAAATATTTATTCCATGTTCCCAAAACATGAGAAAAAAAGTTATTGGACATGCGCATTATGAACGACGGCGTACCGTCTTCTATTGTCAAAACTGACAGTTGCTAAACATTCCATATTTGAATGTAAGTTCGAAATTGGAACGTCTTTATTGAGTTTCATATTGTTATCCATACTCTTTCTTTGATAAATGTAACACAAATGTTACTAGTTGGGGCATTTTAATAATATTTTATCATTCTAAATACTAATACTAAACCAATCGATCAAAATCAATGCGTTTTTGTAATATCATACGAGAATTGAGTAACTATTCTTTATCTAACTTGGACATCACAAAAAACATATTAATGATGGTACTTTTCAGTTTTGCATGAGGCT